TTTTCAACCTACTTGTGTAATTCAGTGTGAAGGGTGAACTATACATTTTCTGTTTATGTCTTGTAGAATGATTGGAGTTGTGCATTCGCTGTGCTAACAGGTATCTAGCGACACTTGATTACTACTTGTCGTCTAGCAACGGTGGTACGAATTGATACCACCGGACGGAATATATTGTGATTGTAATAAAATATAATAACGACTTCTCTCGTATGTCATAGTTCAAAACTAGAAACTCAATTTAAAAAATGGACTTTATATGTTTTAACCGTAGGTGTTATCAATAAAAAAACAGTATTTTTTTTCATGTATCGTTACGGAGAATCCTTCATTTCTGAGCATTTTTAAAGCTGAAAACGAAAAACGAATCTGTAAAATACATTTTACTCTAGAAAAATTTGAGCTTAAAATCATTTATTGATAGTTTTAAAAGCTATCAATATGGTGCAACGCTCTGACAGAGGCTTATATTTAGAGTCTTGGATTTCGTCTCAATTCTTTTATTCTCTGTTCGGATAAGTAGCTAGTCGATCTGATTAACCAATAGTCGACCTTTCGATGGCTTTTTATTGTAATTTGTTATCTTTAAAAATATGTGTTTAGGTTTATCTGTTTTGTTTATCGAACATAAAGAACTGTCTTTAAGCTTTATTTTAAGGTCGAACTTCCCTAGAGAACGTACTTGTGCCCAAGCACTTCACTTGCGTAACGAAGCTGGTACTTGTCCTTTTTGCAGAAGTAAATTCACTTGTAAATATTTGATTTTTCGCTTGAGAAACACTTGTACAAGCGCTTGTCAAGCAAAACTGGAAGTAAGTACTTGGATTGTTTTCAAGGTAATATTATTCAAGTTTTTCTCTATTGTCCCTTAGCATTCACTTTGTGAATTTATTATTATTCTATCTCCGAAGTCCAGAAAGAAAACCCGTTTTCCTAAGCATCGGTACCCAAGTACACTGTCTTATCACATGTCGCGGCGCGAGTCGCTTAAAAAATTCGCGGCGGGATCGCCTATTGCGTTCGCTGTAAGACTCGCGAAATAACACGCGATTTTTAGTAATCGTTATTTTGTCGCGCTCATACAAAAATCAATGATTCTCGAGTATTTTACTATAGTTACTATTTATTCACGTTTTCAGGCGAATATTAGTAAATGAGTCACGCTACTTTTACCGCAAACGTAGACGAATGACGTACGTGTGACGCGACTGCGCATGACTATATTAGTCATGTCAGAAGCTATTATTAAGATGTGATAAGATTTGGAAAATTTTTCGAAAAATCAATAAGAGTTATATGCCAGGTGCAAAAGCAACAAAACGGTGAATAGGATTTGCACAGGAGACCACAACGCTGTATCATGTCGCGATCGTAAGAGAAAAATACGATCGCAACGTGATAATTGTTTCTTACAGCGAACGTGTTCAGATTGCGAAGTTGCACCTAGATCGCTAAAAAGTCGCTATTGTTGCGTCACAATCATCAATTACGAGTTTTTTGTAAAATAAGACCTTGTCGTGAACGTGCCGAGATAATAGGGACTCCTTAGCGATTGCGTCGCGACTTCGCGATCCGAGTGCGATCACTGTAAGAAAAAATGGTCGCGTTGCGAACGCGAATTATAAATCTTGTGTAAAATAAGAGTTAGTCACGAACGCTCCCCGACAATAGTGACGTCTTAGCAATCGCGGCGTGAGTTGCTTGATTTTAGCGCATTCGCACCGCGAATGAAGCAAGAAAGTGGACTTGCGTATAGTATTCATGTAAATAGACAGTGGCGAGCGGTCCTAACCGGTCTTATCCAAGCAAACGCTGATTTTAACCTTTCTTTTTAGTTTATATTTGCTTTTTAACTTTTCTAAAGCAGAAGTACTCACGTCCATGATTACGACTGTCCTATGGCCGTATACGCCGAATTACGACGATGTAATTTGACATATACTATAGTATTTCGCCATATTTTAACGTAAATGACGTCGTTTACGATGGACGTAATATGTTAGCCAGGTTTACGTCGAAATACGGCGAAATACTATAGTCTATGGTTGTGAATCTTTGACCTGGGTAAAGCATTATGTTCCCGAAGAGAAAACCGGATAAAACATGGTGAAATCAGTATGCCGTTACCTTAAGAAACACTTATTTTGAGAGATCTCGTATCAAAAGTTTTTAACTCTTTAACTTTTTAAAAAAGTCTTTTGATTTTTTGCTCAAACTAGAAAATCGTTACTTAAAAAACCAAAAACGATGTTTCCCTAAACCAAATGCGTTTAGGAAAAACCATTCTGATTTTTACCAAAGCTAGAAAACCCTGTGGCTCTTTCTAAAAAAATCCTTTTTAGTTTTCTGGTCAAACAGAAAAACCCTTTTGCTTTTTAAATACACTTTTTCGGTTTCGGGTGATAAAAACTCCTTACTTGCCAAGGACTTTCACAAAGTACTTTTTAGTAATAAAAGCAAGTAAATTTACCATTGAGAAGTACTTCTGAAGTACATGGCAAGTGAGAAATTTTCAAAACACTTGCCAATTTTTCCAAGTACTTAGCAAGTAATCAAGTACTTGCATCAAGTACGTTCTCTAGGGTGTACATTAGCAGTGTACTAAGGTACACTGCTGCGAAGAAGTCCTCTCTGAGAAGAGTTGGTCGACCCACCCGATCAATTTTCACCAAATGCGTCGCATGTAGCAATCCTTTGCCGTTGTATAAGATCAACATGGGCAGCCAAGTTGGTTTTTCGATAGCTTGAACTTCTTCTACTGCAAATTTCCATCATTAAGTTAAATAGTTAAGTTAAGTAGTTAAATCCATTCTTTTGAGATCAAGGTCTGTTTTTGTTTATGATTTGAAGTAGAAACTCGATATATATATAACGCAAAGTCTATTTTATTTCTAACACAGGTTTATTGTAGAAACAGATCGACATGCTCATCCATTGTGTCTAGCATAAAAATATTGCTGGAAAGGCTCACACTGTATTTTTTACCAGCAAGATATGACAATCTGATAGCTACTTCCACATAGGTTTGGCCATTTTTTATACATTTTTTACTATTCGGTCAGAAAGATTTCACTAGTCTATTTTTGTAGAGCTTATCGAGTTATACGACCATGCGTGTTCAATTCTCCACAACGGTTTCTGGAAAGCCCAGTAACAAAAATATGCTTTTTCTGATTTTTCGATCGCACGATCACGTTTAGCGGAGGAAGTTAACCATATCTTGAAATTTTAAACTCGTTCTGATGTTTATTTACTGATTAGTGAACTTTTTAATATTAGGTGAAAACAGTCTGAAAACGCAAATTTTCGTAAAACTGGCTTTTCGGTAGATTTTTTTAGAACTTTTTCTAAAAACAAATATTACCACAAGGGTCAGCATGATCGATTGCCTATAGTCCATCCGTTTTCAAGGCTACCAATAGTCACCAGGTGCCAGCCCTGGAACTCCCATGATCATAGTTTTTTGGAAAATTTCCAGCACAATGCAGAATCGCTGGCGCTATGGTCAATGGTAGAGCACACATAGAGAAATATTTGGCGAAAGGTTGAGCTCGATTGGATTTTATCTGTTTGTAGCGTTTACAAAATACAGAAATGCATCTTTGATACTCAATTTTAGCCTAGCAGATTTTTTTTTGCTGTAGCAGTTTAAGTTCAATCGAAATGATCTTTTCATTAAAATGGAGCTCATAGATGAATAATTCTTTTCAGATAGTTTTTTCCAATTAAACTATTCCAGTAAGTTGGTCAAAAAATTAACTTTAGTTTTTCCAACGTTCAACTTAATTTCTAAAAATGCTATTTCAGGACAAGATAGATCAAAGACAGAAGTAATTATTCCAATGTTTAAACTTTGAAAAGTAACATTTTCGTTTTATGTCCGCCTGGTTGCCTACTGTACACCGCGAGTAAAGTAGATTAAGTTGTTGAAACACTTTTCTGAAGCAAAGTAAAATTTCAGTCATAATCAGTCAGATAAAGAAACTTCTTTTATTGCACTATGCTACGGTAGTAGATAACTAAACTACCGGCTATAGACCAACTCTGATAAACTTTCCTTTTTTACCACTTTATTGAAGATTCAACAAAGGTACAAAGTCAAAATACAAACTGGTACGCGCCTGCGGCATCATATTAAAAACTTCTCCGATTTTTGAAGAAAAATTAAAATGAGATAAATTTAAGAGAATAATGGGCATATCAATTTTAATCTGGACATAAACAAAATAACATAGCTAATCAAATGAAATGATTATCGAAAACCGGATAGTGCATCAGTAAAATTGGATTTTCAACATGAAGATACTAACAAATTACTGCCATTTAGACAAAAACGAGTATGTGTTACTATTACCTTAGCGGAGAAAGTGCCTGATTATAATTTATTGATTTATTACGATTGCAATTATTGGATAGCAGCACTATAACTTCACAGAGAGGATTATTACATGGTATAATCTGAAGGGCTTTTTCAAAAATTTCTAATGCTAAAGCCTGATTTCCTAGGCACCTATAAGCGCTAGCTATAGTAACATATGAGTCTACGAGACTGAGATCATCAACCGGTAAACATTGCAACTGTATTTCGATCGCTTCTTACCAAATTCTAATGATTTTTTAGCATCGTCTTTACGTAAATATATCATGCCAATATTGCAATATCGCATTGCAATTGTTGAGTGACTTGTCGATAGATATTTTCGGTCAATCTCTAATGATTTTTCATAAAATTGTAAGCTTTTATCGAAATCCCCTTTCATTTGATAAATAAATCCTAAATTGTGATATGTAAAAGCAAAATCACGATGATCTAGCTGCAAGGAACATTTCAACGCTTTATCATAATAGATGAATGCCGTTGTATAATCACCTCTCATTCGATAACCCTGTCCGACATTATTGTACAGGTTAATAAGATCAGGATGATTTGATGTATAAGTTTTCAGAGAAAGTTCAAGTGCTTTTTGAAAATATTCCAAACTTTTTGAATAATTCATGAATTACATATAATCCCATCCAATCTTATTGTACGTCGATAGCACAAACGGATGATCCGATGGTAAACAACGTAATGCTCTTTCAAGAGAATAAGTATGATTTTTCAACGCTGTTGCATAATCATCTTTCTTAAGATAAATATCTCCAATATTATTGTATGCATTTATTATGTCAGAATGATTAGGTGGTAATGCTTTAAGTTGAATTTCTAGAGCTGTGTGAAAATGTTTTAATGCATTTGCATACGGGGCAGTATAGACATAAACCGATCCAATCGAATTATGAACACCGGCAACCGACGGCAAGAGTGATGGTAAGCATTTTACCTTGAGTTCAATTGCTTTTTCTAAATATTTTAAGGCCAATGTATAATTACCATTATTTGAATAGATAACACCAAGATTATGATAACAGCTTGAAAGCTCAGGATAACCAAGTGATCCACGTTTCTCTAGCAGACCAATGGCTTTTTCAAAGTTTTTCATTTCTGCTGTCATATCACCTCTACGTTGATAAACTAATGCAGTATTATTATATACTGTTCCGATATTTACATCATCTGGCGGTAATTCCTTAACTAGAATATGATAATACCGTTCTTCCTTATCGAATCGACCTATCTGAAACAAAAATGAACCAAATGTTGTTTTGTTTTGTTTTATGTCTTTATTCATTCTCAACCGAACAAGGTCAGCGGGGCGAACCCCATTATCGACCTTCAATGTACATTGAAATAGAAGGAAAAACTTAATGTTAAAAAAGAAAAAAGGAAAAAACTAGACAAGCGAAAAAAAAGAAAATGCACAGGCAAAAAGATTATATTTTACAGCAGCTATAGCATTTGTTAATGTAGATTCAGTTATCAACGGTTATGAGTGATGATGGAGAGTGGAGGAAGAAAAACTTTTTAAACGATGCGCTGCTGGTTATTTATTTATTTAA